CGGTCGAACAAAAGTACGTACGTACGTAATGCACGTATCCTTAAAGACAGACTAATTGACACAATGGCTTAGGTTGCCAATTCCAACGATTAACTAGAATGGTATTGATTGATATTTAGACAATAAACAATAAAATAGTTAAACCATTTTAAAGAGAATAAATTAAATTTGTAAGGCTAAGCGATAACCATTAGTAATACGGTTTAATAATACAAACAAATTTTAATAAGATTTAATTTTGACAAGTAAATCAAAGTAATCGGCTATTATTTAAGGAACGCCATATTTGTGAACCATACCAAATTGAATATAACAATTGATATATTCAAGTTGATAAGAAACGACTTTAATGAATTCTAAGCCTTTTTTTTTTTTTTTTTTTTTGACAATACTTGTTTATTGGTGAATGCGTTTATACACCAAACTAATTAGGATATAGTGAGTGGATTACGTTAAAAAATTTCAGGTTTTGATAAAAAGTCAAATAACTAAAACAGGAATAAACTTGCGCCAAAAACTTGCGATACTATTGTAAAAATAGTTACGCATGTGTTACCTAATTTTTCCATTAAAAAAAAAACCCAAAATCCATACGATACTAGAAGGTTGACATATTCAGAGGCTAACAAGATTGAACAATATTAATCAAAATTGGTATAGCGATAGTCATTAAAGTTTATACCAAAAAAAATAGTAAGAATGGCCAAAAAGAGCCAAGAATACTTATTCGGTTTCTACCGGAATTAGGCCTATTCACATGGAGTTCTATAGTGAAGAGGAAACAACGGTTTGCATTCATTTTAATTACAGTACAGCAGTGCGAACGGTAACATCAGTGTTGTCATTGGAAGCTCACTGGATGCTCACTGGGAACTTACTGGAGTAAAATTAATAGTGCCACTGGAACTCGTACTATTGCAAAATCCCACTGGAATGCCAGAAATTTCCCGCCGAAAGGAAAATTAACAACACTGGGTAACATAATTAAGGAACAGTAAGATACTCAAAGAGATAGATAATAGTAAGAAGAGATAGATAATAATAAGATACTCAAGAGATAGATATGAGGACGTTGCAGTATCAGTATGTTGTGGACGGTAAGAGATTGAGAACATAAGCATGTACAATACGTACATGTGTACGTAAGTTGTAAAAATAAAATATAAAAGTATGAAGAGATGTTACTGTATGAAACATTATAATTAGTAACGATTAGCAAGATATCACTCGCTTAATTAAAACTTTAATTAATAAGTTATTACATATTAGTACATTGGATTTATTTAAATTTAAAGATATTTTAATTTTATCTTATGCTCCACAGAATAACAATAATAATGTTACTACTGTATATAACTGTATATAACTGTATATAGATTTAAGTTATTACTAACAAAATATGGCAATAAATGATCTGATTGGATCCTCATTTCGAATTTCAGACTCCGAAGCAAGCATTCGAAAATAAATCTTTTTAATGTGTTTTAACACGTTGGTAGACGCATTGATATACGCGCATATCTATGTGTGTCATGCGATCGAGTCATGGTAAAAATGTTTGTTTTAGTTTATAACAAGAATAGAGAAATTCTGCAAATTCTGCTTAGAAAGAGGAAATAAAAAAAAACAAAAGATGCTAACCTTGTTTGTTATCTTTATAGCGCATTAGCATTATTAGAAAATTTATCAGATCAATCATATCTTATCAAAGGTAACTCGGTCAATTCCCTTTGTATGACAAAAGTAATGAATGGAAATGAACGTCGACTGTTTAGGAAACTATTAGAGTTATCATTAATAAATGTACATCGGCACATCCATAGATAAGAGAGCGCCCCAGGCACAAACGAATTTTGCCATTCCAGGAACGTGCACAAATATCAGGTGAAAAATGGTCCACACGGTATACGCAATGCATAAAGAAAAAATCAATGCAAACAGATAAGAATGTTTACATGTTTATGTAAATACATTGTGCCATTCATTTTTGTGTAAGGAAAAAAAAATCAACATATAATTAATTAAAAAAAAGTGATGAACAAAGATGGCGAATTTTATTCAGTCGTAAATTGGTAAAGATTGACGAGAAGCAGCCGGAGCAAGGCGAAAGATAACATGTCTTAAAATATGCCATAAAAAAAACGCACATGGGATGCTAATAAATTCTCTCAAAACCACGTTTTAACCTATTTGGCCCATTATTGCAACTTGCAACTTTTTGCATTTTGCCGCAAACCGCCGAATCCGCATGCAGTAAACTAATCACTATTATTTTTATATTTTTATTATCTTTATTAATTTTATTAATTTTATTAATTTTATTATTTTTATTCATTTAGAAAAATATACTGTCATATAATTCCATCTTTCCAGGCATGATGAACTTAAAAGAACCAACTAAAATTACTTATGACTTGCACAGATATTTTATTATTTATTCCCTCACTAAAAATATATACCTATGTGCGCACATATAATTTGTATAATTTGTATGATTTGTATAATTTGTATAAGATGTAGGGCAGATATTTTAATGCGTGGTGACGTTTTATTTATGCACAAACATGCACTAGAATCTTATCTCCCTGGTGTTCCATGGTACAATTTGATTGTATTACGAGATAAGATAAGAACCTATTTGGTCAAATACAACAAAAATTAGCCTACCTTGTGTAGCTTTTACTTTTTTCTTTGTTGCATGAAATTAATACAGTGTAACTGAATATCAATAATGAAAATAGCTATATAAATTTCACATTCCCAGTCAAGAAATTTCAGAATTTTTCTGAAGGTGCAAGCGTCTCAAAAAAAAAAAAAATAATAATAATAACAATCTAAAATTATCCAAAAAAAAATATAAAATAATTATTTAACTATTTTTTGGTTCGTTAAATTTTTTTTTAATTATTTAATTAATTAAAACATGAACTATTTTTACATGCACAACGGAAAGCACGTGGGCACCGACGTAGATTGAATATTTAATTTGCATCTCTTAAATATTTAAACTTTTAAACGTAACTATCAGCAAATAACTTCTTCGCTCAAAAGCGATTTCACATTTATTATATATTTTTCTGTTCAATTAAATTTTTACACTATAAATTTCGAATAGTCAAACAAAAAGCATCTTAACCATTCTATTTTTTTTTTAGAATTTATTATTGTTAAAAACACAAATGGTTGGTCAAAACCACATTTTGATGAACATCGATAGCGGTTCTATTGTGTACACTCCTCGTATCTCTGGCACTTACGCCATTCCTACGTCTAGCGAAAAGATTTTACACGTACAAATTCCAACTTATCAAGTTATCAATTCTTCGCCTATCATCTATCCTGCCATGACTGAGAACGATTTGATATCTTCTTTTGTTCTCACAAACGAAATGCAACAACAATTATTTTTGGATCCTAATTCGATCCAACAACATCAATCTCCTCTTGACTCCTTCACTGAAAATGATTACGATGATGTCATGTTAAGGAATCCTGCTGAAAAATTTTCGCATTCTGCCGGTTTAGACTCCCAAGTAAACAGCCCTTCTGGTGAATGCAATAGTCCCGATGAAATGTTGAACTCCTTTGATGACATCCATTTCGATGAATTCTTTGATCCGAATAACTTGTTGTTTAAGGAGGATTGTCTCGATAATTGTGTCAATGAATATGTTAAACTCGAACACTCTGATAACGAAGACGCTTTAATCCCTGACTGTAAGTTTTTATCCCAACTATTATTATTATTTATTATTGTTTTTACCAATGATTTATTTTAAATTTTAAATTTTTCTTTTAATCAGCCGACTCAGCGCAACATGATGGTTGTTATCCTATTGAATCCCAAAAGAATAACCCTGGTACTATTGGCACTCCGCCACCTTCTCCTCAACAAGCATCAGATGCTGCTTCTGCTGATGCTTTGGATTCAAAATCAAAAATGATCGCTCCCAAAAAGCAAACTAGTACAAAACCCCCTCGAAATTTAGAGTGTTACAATTGTGGTGTAAATAAGACTCCTCTTTGGCGTCGCACTCCTGATAGAATGCATTCTTTATGCAACGCTTGTGGATTGTATTATAAACAATACAACACTCATAGACCTTTGCATATTAGAAATAAACCAACTAATAGTAGTGCTCCGTACACTCTTCCTGTATCAAGAAAGTGTACCTCCTCAAGTGTTTCTTCCGATTCTTCGGGTTCTCAATCCCCTCCACGACAATCCTCCCCCCCTCCCCCTCCTTCTCAGCCATTGCAACAAATACCCCATCAATCTCCTAATATCCAATCTTCAATTAATCCCAACGATGCTACTATTCGTTGTGTTAATTGCGCTCAAACTCAAACGCCATTATGGAGAAAAAATGAAAAGGGTCAACCTATTTGCAATGCTTGTGGCCTATATGCAAAATTACATAACAGGGATCGTCCTGCTGCAATGAGAAAAACAAAAATTCAACGTCGTCGTCGTGATTGGGGTGGAGCTAATGGTAATCAAAACGGTGTAAATATTGATGATTCGGTTTCTGATGGTTCTTGCGACTCCAGCATGCAACATTCGACTTCTCCTAATCAGCATCCTATTACTATTCAATTATCCGGTCAACGCCCATTAGTACCTTTAATGATTCCTCAATCTCAACTCACTACTTCTCCAATCATGATCACTTCAATTCCTGCTTCCGTTCAACATAATTATGCAAATGGAATTCCTTGTGTATCTTATCATTTTGAACTTGATGATAATGGTTTTAAATCTTCTATTAGCAAATTGCCAAGAGATCAAATGGAGGGCGTTCTTGAAACCTTAGAAAGACGATGCGAAATCGTGAAACAACTTTTGGTCGAGGACCAAAATTATTAATTATTAATCACAAATTTATTGGTCATAAATCACAAACTCAAATTATTTTCAAATTATTTGGTCATTAATCACAAACTCAAATCAATCACAAACTCAAATTATCGAGTAATTAATCACAAACTCAAATTACACAAACTCAAATTATTGGTGTCGCATATTGTATTATATCGTTCAATAACTTTTTAAAATTAATTTTTTTTTTATGTCACTTCAATTTCGGTTTGTAGAAATTCTAAAAATAAATTGATGTAGATAAAATAAATATAAATTTCTTAGACATCACCTCATTTCCCCCTCTTACCCTCAAATCTTATACGATTTCTCTTTCAAGATTTTATTTATGTATATAAAAAGTTTCATTCTATGAAAAAAAGATCAAAATATTACAACCCAATCTCATTTTTGCATTCGATTTGCTTTCATATTCCTTCATCATTTTTTTTTTTTTTTACTTTCAAATCCATGATTATGTAATTTCTTTTATGATTATAATAAATGAAATTATGAAATTTAACTAGAATTACTATGTTCTGTAATAATAACTATTGCCGAGTTATTTCAGCCTTTATCAATGATGGAAAAATCTTTTTTGTTGAGAGTCAAGTGATAATTTTCAAAAAAAAATGGTCAATCCATTATTAGGTTCAAAACTTTTTCGAGACAAAGACTTTGTTAAAGGTTAATAATCTTAGCCAACCTAGCTAGCTTAGTCAACTTAGTCGACTTTGAGAGCTTAGTCAACTTAGTTGACTTTGAGGGCTTAGTCAACTTAGTGACTTTGAGGGCTTAGTCAACTTAGAGGCTACATTCGGTCGATTTTTTTTCCCAAGAAATCGTCTTAGTTGACCCAAAATGAATAAATCATACAAAAAATCAGATTTATTTTTTTGTTTAGAAAGATAACCACCATGACGCCTTTTTTCCCATTTTCATTAATTTTTATGTTATCAAACTTGGAATGAAAAAAAAAAATTTTATCATTGCATTCATAATTCGAATTAAAAAAAAAAAAAAAAAATCAAATAAAAAAATTTATTTATTATTAAAAAAAATCACTTCATTAGGTGATTTAAAGATCCAGAAAATCTACTGTATAACGTTGATAACGTGGAAAAGAAATTCTCTTTATAGTGTTAAATCATTTTCCTCTAATAGTAAATAACCTCTAAGAATATGTAAGTACCATCTAACGCTAATAATTGATATCCTCTAATAGGTATCCTCTAAAGAATACTTAAGCATCCTATAACGATAAGAATAGCCTTCAGACATTTCCGATCGGTTAATTCGGACAAAAATAAACCCGAGTACCGGTCCCATGTGTGTGTAAAAATCGCTAAACAGCCCATTTTTATATAATCATGATTATTCATGCAAAATGTTATTGTTTGACTAGAGTTTGGAACCGGATTTCGTTTTTCGATTCGGAATTTATTTAATTCGTTATTCAAATCATATTCATATTCGGCGAATAATCGAATAAAGAATTATCTAATGAATAATTCGAATTATCATCATGTGAAACTTCAGTCATTGGCTGATTCACATATAGTGACTATATTAGTTGCACCGCCATGTTATTCGAATAAATAATGCTTATTCGAATAATCGAATAAATATTTGCTGATTTAAGTTATTCGAATATTATTCGAATAAGAAATCCGTAAACTCTAGTTATGACATAATTAACAACAATAAATCTTAACATTTTGCATTATCGTATAAAAACGGATGTTGTTTAACGACTTTTTGCACACCCATCATCTTTTACCGAATCAACAAAGGTAAAAAATGATTAACATATAAACATGAACCGGTACTCGAGTTTGTTTTTGTCCAAATTAGCCCGATCGGAAATAATTTTTCAAGGCAAAGACCTCATGGAAGGACATTCGTCTGATTGTTTGATGTAAATCAATTCAGTCTCGGATATTACCAAATATGGAAATTGATCTACTATTAGTAAAAGACTATTCTAGAACTGATTTATATAGTATTTTTGTTT